AGTTTTTGTTGGTGCACTCATGTTCTGTGCTTGTCATGTGGTTTTTGGGGTGTACACCAAAGCGGCCTCAAGCCACTTTTTGTGCACCCATGTTTTTTGTTTCTCTCTCCGATTGTATTCGAGTGCGCCGAAGTTCAACGTCGCCAGGCAGCTTCGCTCGGCGGGGCGCCAGACGGCTCCTCGGCTCGGCTGGGGGCGCGCCCCTGTGGGTTGTCGCCCCCGCATTCCCATGCTTGGCGTTTGCCCCTGCGGGGCCTTGTCGTCGACCCGCAGAGATGGATTTTCCCACCCAGCCAGTGATAACCGTACTCCTGGGAGCCCCCAAAATATTGGCATAGGCCTCCGCGAGCGCGGTGGCCCTGCCTTTCGCGTGCATTGTGCTTTCGTGCACAGAATGTGCCAAGGCCGCCGCGCGCGCGGCGGCCATGCTTCTCACGCAGAATGCAGATTTCCCAACAGGCAGACTGGCCGCGCGCGTGGCGGCCCTGCCCCTTCGCGCGTCATGTGCTTCCCTTTGCAGAATGGGCCAAAGCTTTCGCGCGCGGCGGCCGTGTCGCGCGGGGCAACAAATAAGCCGAGGCCGCCTCGCGCGCCGCGCAGCCTTGCCCCTCGCGCATACTGGGGTTTCCCGCGCAGAACGGGCTCAGGGCAGCCGCGCGCTGCGGCCCTGCCCATCGCGCGCATGGTGTTTTTGCCAACGCAGGGCGGCCGCCCCAGGGCAGCCGCGCGCGCTGCGGCCCTGCCCCTCGCGCGCAGTGTGTTTCCCATGCAGAGTTGGCCCCAAGGCCGTCGCGGTCCCGGCGGCCCTGCTCCTCGCGCGAATTTTGTGCTCCAGCGCAGAATGGGCCAAGGCCGCCACCCGCGCTGCGGTCTTGCGCCTCGCGCGTAACGCGCATTCCCGCACAGGGTGGCTCGGAATGCCCCGGGGCCGCCGCGGGCGGCGGCGGCCTTGCCCCTCGCGCACCATGTGTGCTCCCAGAGAGAATACGCCAAGGCCGTTGCGCGCGCGGCGGCACCGTTCCTCGCGCGCGTGGCGTTTCCCAACACGAACGCCGAAGGCCGCCGCGCGCGCGGCGGCCTTCCCCTCGCGCGTGTCGTTGAACTCTTACTACTGAAGAGTATTGGGGTTCTCTTGAGGTGTTCTTTGGGTCTTCTCGGGTCCGTCCTGGGGCCCTTGTTGAAAGCTCTGGGGTCCTCATGGGGCTGAGGTGCCTTGGGGCCCGCTTGGGGCCCTCTGGGAACCCTCTTGGGGGCCTTTGGGGGGATCTGGGGGACCTCTTGGGGCCATTTCGCAGGGCGTCGATCTAACGAGGGGCCGCCTGATTTCCGTCCACCTTCAAGAAGACTCATAAGTCTTGGTGCGCTATTCGGCACTCTTTGGGCCGCCTTGGAGGCTTTTTGGGCCCCTCTTAGGGCTCTCTTGGGCCATCCTGGGGACATACTGAGGCTTCAGAAGCCCACCATAAGCGAAAAACAAGAACGCAATAATCAGAGGATGTTCGTGCGGTGTTGAAGGATTTGGGCTTATTAGGGGGGGTCCGTGGGGCTCCGGAAGCATGTGGAACTATATTGTGACTCTTTTGGGGCCTCTTGGAGGCATGATGGAGGCCATCTTGAACTAGAACCGGCTTTCTTGAGCCATCTTGGAGGCCACCTTGGAGCATCGGAGGCCCTCTTGGAAGAGCGACTTTCAAAGGTTGCCCTTGCATCCGTCCCCTTCGACCCATCCTTGGCCGCTTTCGCAGGTCGCGCGCCGCTCGCAAAAGTGTCGGCATGTCCTTTCCAAGGCCCTTGCATCCTTATCGTGCGTCCTTGTTATACAGGTTGACTGTACAGCGCCGTTGTTATACATGCTCCGCGTGCGGATCATGTATTAGAAATGCAGGGGTTTAGTATTGAAAGCAGCGATGAATTCATACATACATTTAATCATCTATTCATCATGGATTAAGAGTCGCGGCCCCCCCGCCGGGTCGCGCGCTGTGATGCAGTTGCTGGGGGCTGCCTGGGCGGTCCACGTCTTCTGCGGCAAGACGCCACCACGTTCTCCTCCTCCTTTTCCTCCTCCTCCTCCTTCCTTCCTCGGCCACGCTCGATCGCCACCCTCCTTTCTCCTCTCCCCCCCTCCCCCCTCCCTTCCTCCCTCCCCCTCCCCCCCCCCTCGCAGACGACGCGGCGTGGAAGCAGAACTGCGCCGCCTGAGCTGCGCGCGCGCGAGGGGGCCCGCAGCGGGGGCGCGACGCGCGACGCGCGACACGCGTCGAGGGGGGCCGGCTGCGCGCGTGTGGGCGTGCGTCGCGCGCTTGCTGCGGAGAAGGGGGCACGGCACACGGTCTGACGACGGGGGGTGTGAGGCCGAGGTCGGATTGGGCAGGGTACTCCAAGGTTCTTGTGCATCCTGGGGGAGGGTGCGCTCGAATGAACTCGATGTCTGTTCATGGGAGCCTTGGGCGGCGACATTGAAGTCAGCTTTTCCTGCATCTGGACCGCGCAGGGACCGCATTTGGCCCGTCCTCTTGCTCCTCCTCTCCCCTCCTGTTCCCCCTCTTCCTCCTCGTTCTTCTAGTCCCCGCGAATCCACTCCAAACCTTGCCCAAATCTGGTCCAAATGTGTTCGAAATCCGGTCCAAGTCAGGCCCAAATCGCACAGCGCCGGGGGCCACGCAGGCTCCCATGGAACGGACACCAAAAATGAATTCCAGTTTGGCCGGCGGAGGGTCTCATGTTCTTGAAGGATGTTCTTCTGTCCTAGGTCCGGCCGTGCATGCAGTAACGAGCTTCAGCTTCAGGAGGGGCTCTGGTTCCCAGCCCGCTCCGTATATACGTGTACTTGGTATCGCTCGGACGTGTGCACTTTTTTTTCTCGGCGGGGATTGTTAAGGAGCGTGCTGGATCATCCTGCGAAACAAAAACACGCACGAAACCAAAAAAAACAGGGAATGGACGTCCGAGCGACGGGGAGTAGACCTATCTCTAGGACGGAAGTGCGAATCGTGGGTGGGGCTCGCCGTGGCAAGGGCAGGCCCCTCCGTTCCTCGTTCCGCGTTCCCACGATGGATGCAAGCACGACCGCTGCGCCCCCATGACAGGCGGCCCAGATGAGTAGGTCGACCCTGCCAGCTCAAGGGTACCCTTGTGTCCTGTGCCTCGCGACGCGTGCCTTCTTACACTCCTGTGGCGATGTGGCCTTCGGGAGGGTCTTGTGTCCTCTCGCGTGTCCTCCCCTCCAATCAAGTCCGACTGTATTGGTTCGCGCAGCGCGCCAGGGGCGCCGGGGGCGCCGGACGGGGTCCTGCGCCGACCCAGGAAATCTGCGCGAACCATGTGTGTTTGCTGTGTTTTGTTCCTCCCCCGACAATTCGGGGCTGTCAGATTTCAGGCCTGGACATGTCTTTTTGGTGATTTCGTGTGCCGTTTTCGTTTCGACTTCGTTTTGCGGTAGAGGCGGATTCGAGACAACAGCGAGGGAAAACGAAAACAAAACGAAAACGAACATCACCGTTTAGGTTCAGCCCTGGACGGGGTCCTGCGCCGACCCAGGAAATCTGCGCGAACGGTGTGCGTGTATGCTCCGTTTTGCTCCTCCCCCGACAGTTCGGGGCGGTCAGATTTCAGGGCTGGACCTAAGCGGTGTTGTTGGTGATTTCCTGGGCCGTTTTCGTTTCGACTTCGTTTTGCGGCAGAGGCGGATTCGAGGAAAAAGCGAGGGAAACCGAAAACAACACGAAAACGAAAAACACACTGTTTAGGTTCAGCCCTGTTAGATTTGTAGAGGGAGTTCCCGACCCGCCCGCCTCGCACGCACACCTCACATACCGCGGCCGCCAGCCCCAAAGTCTGCCGGTGTTCCTTGGGTACAGTCGGGGCGCTGAGGAAGGAACCCTTTTCGTTGGGGAGGGGCTCGGTGTTCCTTAGTTGTTTTGCAGTTCTCCTCTGGTTTTGCTTAGGGTTTCGATGGGGAATCGAAGTTTACTTATGGGAAAAAGGGGCCTCGTTCCTCACTTAGGGTCCCTTAGGTCAACGCCCCGACTGTATCTTGAGCCTCCGGCGGAGGACGACTGCACGCCCCGGGCGCCAGGCCCCAACGCGTGCCGGTGCAAGCCTTGGGCACGTTGCCTCGGCCCTTCGACGAACGACGACAGCATGTCGCGGCCGATGGGCCCAAAAGTGCGCGGTGCTCCTCGTTCAGCCCGCCTCGCCCTCCTGGGTGGAGGTCGCCAGAAGCACCATTTTCAGGAGGGGAAAACACACACAGACGCAATGAATCGGCGATTCCCAGAACAAGATGGGAAAGTATAGGAAGTGGGGGGGACGGCGAACCTCCAGAAGGTATCGAGGAACATAGGAAATCCTGGGATTAGTGTGTATTCGTGTGTGTGTGTGTGTGTGCCCCTGGGCCCCTTCACAATTGTTTCTGTGCCTCTGTGCCAGCGGAGGGCGCGCCTCAGCGGCGGCGGCGGCGGCGGCGGCTGGTCTGGTCTGGCCCGGCGCGGTCTCGCCCTGGTCGCCGGGTGCATCGGAGAGAGGCGACGACACCGCCACGGCCACCAGGCCACCTCGGGCCGGGCGGAGGTGCACGATGCCCCGCCGTCCGAGGAGGAGGAGGAGGAGGAGGAGGAGGAGGAGGAGGAGGAGGAGGAAGAAGAGGAGGAGGAGGAGGAGGAGGAGGAGGGGGGGGGGGGAGGGGGGGGGAGGAGAGGAGGAGGAGAGGAGGAGGAGGGAGGAGGAGGAGGAGGAGGAGGAGGAGGAGGAGGAGGAGGAGGATGAGGCGCAGAACATGGGGGCCGCGCCACCAGGAGCAGCCTTCCTGGGGCTGGAGGTGGTGGTGGTGCTGCTGAGCTTCTCTCCCCACTCTGGGGTCGGAGCAGATGGGGTCGGAGGATCGCGCCGCATCGCCGATCCATCGGCGATGGGGCTCGATGTTGAGCCCCAGTTTCGCCTTGCAGACGTCGCTGATGCATCGCCGGCGTCGCCGATGCCTCGACGATGCATCGGCGATG